AGTGTGTAGATGCATGTATGGTATGAGTGTGTGTATGCATGTATGGGTGTGCAAATATGTATGGTGCGTGAGTACGAGTGTATATGTATGTGTGGATATATGTATGGTATGTATGTATGTGTGTATTGTATGAGTGTGTATGTGTGCGTATGAATGTGTATATACGAGTGTATATGGTATGTATGTGTATTGTATGAGTATATATGTGTGCATAAGAGTGTATGTACAAGTGTATACGGTATGTATGAGTGTGTATGTGGTATGTGTATGTACGAGTGTGTGTATGTGTGTATGGTGTCTGTGTGTGTGAGTGCATGTGTACGTACATGTGTATATGTATGATATGTGTATGTGTATGTATACGCATGGTATGTGTGAGTGTGTATGTGTGTGCATGTGGGGGTGACAAATGCCCCAGACAGCACAGGGCCCCCTTCACTCGCCAGCTTCCATCCTCCGGTGACTCCATTCACAGGGACCCCTGTGAGGGACAGCGCTGCCACGCGGGGTTTCCCAGGCATTTCAGGAGGAGTGCTGGCTGGTAGCTAACCGGGAGTTAAGACACAGGCAGGCCAGGAGCAAAGTAGCAGGTTTATGGAGGCAGCAGCGGCATGGGGGGAGGGGATGACACGGGGAAGGTGGGGCTGGCCTCTGTGGGCCTCTGGCCCTTCCCGGCACAGGACAGGCGGGCTGTGGCGGACTCCGGGGCCAGGCACCTCCAGGGCGTCAGTCCATCCGCAGCCAGCAGCCCTTCTCTTCCACCTCCGTGGTCACCACCAGCAGCACCTCACACAGGCCCTGAGCCAGAGCAGCTGCCAGGAAAGCCCTGTGTGGGAGGGAGGGAGGGGGAGACTGAGGCACACAGGGTGGGGCGGGGGCGCTGAGACCCGCCCTTGGCCTCACCATGCCCTGGCTTACCTGACACCGTCCTCGTCCCCCAGGGCCTCGGGCACCCGCAGCTTGGAGTCCAGGTTGTAGTAGATGCCACCCACCTGGCGCAGGGCCACCCAGTGCCGGCGGCGCAGTGGCAGGGACAGCAGCCCCAGCGACACGGGCGAGGGCAGATTCAGGATCAGCCCCAGCACCTGGGGCAGGGCCAGCTGGGCCAGGGGCCTGCGGGGAGGGGAGGACACAGGAGTCCCCCACATGTACCCACTGGCCGAACGTGACTGTGGGTGTGGGGCCCAGGTGGAAGCGGGAGGGGTGGCCTCCTTCGCCCACCAAGGTCTTTCTTTAACGAAACCACTGTTTCTGACATTTTCTCATTTATCCATCCAACCAATCTTCCACACACCCACCATCCACCCAGCCCCAAACCTTCCACCCATCCAGCCGGTCAACTGTCATCCACCCAACCAACCTTCCACCATCCACCCAGCCAAACCTTTCACCCAACCACCATCCACGCAACCCAAACTTTCCAACCACCCAACTAATCTTCCACCCATCCACCATCTACCCAGTCAAACCTTCCACCCATCCAGCCAACTGTCTACTCAACAACTTACCACCTAAGTCCTCAACCAACCACATTAGCTGTCCACCATCCATCCATTCGCCCACACTCACCCACCCACCCATTTAAACTTCCCATCAATCACCTAGCAACCATCCACTTTCCAACGACCCATGGATCATCCATACTTCTCTAGCTGTTCATGCACTCACCCCCACACGCACCCCTCTACCCATCCAAACACTCACCCATGAAGTCACCTACGCCCCAGCATGTCCATCAATCCTTCACCCGCTCTGTACCCACCCGCCATTAATCTATGCATGACCCACCACCCACACATCTAACTCCTGTCTCCAGTTTGTTACCGACTACCTACCAACCAACGAGCCCTGATGGCAGAATGATTAGCCAGCACAGTGGCGATTCAGGAGATGGGTGGCTCGAACCTGCCCAGACGCTTGGAGAAAGATGCGCCGGGCTGCTTCCGGGGAAGATGTACTGACGTGGGGACCCTTCAGCGCAGTTCTCCCCTGTTCTGTATGGTCACCGCGAGTCCAGATAGACTCCAATGGCAGTGGGCTTACCTACCAACCGTTTGTCCCTGAAGTCACTCAACTGCCCATTCACACTCATGCCTCCTCTCGTCCCACGGTTCGAGCACCTGTTACCTTTCCACACCCACCACCTGTCACGCAACCACCCATCTTCCATCAGTGCAGTCACCCATTCACTTTATGCCGCCAACCGATTCATCTGTCTGTCCATTACTCATGAACTCACCCGGTTCACTGTCTAGCCACTCCTCCTCCCTTCCTCTGCCTGCTGCCCGTCTAACTGGCTCCTCACCCTCTACCAGCCGCCTGGGCTTCCGTTACAGATTGCATTCTGATAGCGGGCATTCACCACGGCCCTGCTAGACACGGTCTCACAATTCCTACCACCAGAGCAGGTGGGGCTATGCAAAACAAGGTATCTGTGGCCCACCGAGGGGATGGACGGATTGGACAGCTTTCGAATGATGCAGATAAGGGGGAGGGGAACTTCATGAGGGAGATGGTCGGTTTTGCGGACGGCAAAGCTAGGCTTCAAAGGCATCGTCCCCGTGGTGGAAAAGGAGGACCGGACCACCACCAGCGTGTTCTATGGGCCTGGGGTCTCTGTGATGAGAACCTCACGGACCCAGGAGGCAGGGGGGTGGGGGTGGAGGTGGAACATGGAGTCAGAGAGAGACAGGGAGCAGCAGGGCAGCAAACCAGGAGACCGGCGCGAGATGGGCCATAGAGCAAGAAAGCTGAGTGTGTTCCAGCAGGTGGAGGAGTGGGATGCCTCTCGAGGTATGGCCGAGAAGAGACTGCCCTGATAGAACTGCATCCTGCATCGCTTCTGACCCTGAATTGTAACCTGTTAGTTCCCTAAATAAATCCCCCGACAGTGAGCATAGGCTGTAGATAAGTTCTGTGGAGCTATGTCAATGTACTCGTGGTCATTATGTAATCCGCTGTCAATTTGAGAGGATTAAGAGTGAAGGGGTGGAGTCTAGCCTGCCAATCAGGTCATAGCCAATGAGGCCTCTGTGTGGGTGTGGCCTTCTCCTGAGGATTCTGGGAACTCCTGTCTTCCTCCCCTGGAGGTGGGAGACTCTTGTTCTCTCTGCTCACTCCCTGGGAAACATTGCAGCTGACAAGACACATGGAACTACGCTAGTGCCCTGAGCTGGAAGAGCCACGTGGACCCACACCAGCGCTGAGATGCTTATAATGCCACTGGATCCACAAGACTTACCACCCACTGGCCTGTGATCTTCCTGCACTCGGCATCATTGCATTTGTGAGACTGAAGAGGGCTTTATAGACTGGTATTGGATATGTGGGCTAATATCGGACTTCTGGACTTGATCTGGACTGGGCTGTTCTCTCCATATTCAGCTGCTCTTGTATATGAAGCTCTTTCTTATGCACATATGCGTGTTTATGGATTTATTCCTATGGTCTACCTGGACTGACACGGCATTCTTCAGCCCAGCAGAGCAGTAGAGAGTGTTGTGGGGAAGGCTTACGGTGTCCTAGGAACTGGTTAACAGTTTGGGGAGAGGGAGACCTATCTGACCTCCGGCTGTGAGGAACAGACTCGGGTGGGTGGCGAGTCCCTTGCAGGGGTTAGGGGAGGTCAGGTGCCTCCACCACGCCATTTTTCAGTTTCCCCCAAATCCAAACTGAAATCCTAACCTGCCTGCCTGTGGGAAGGGAGACACGCTGCTCTCTGGTGCCATGAGGGTGGGTGGTCTCGGAAGCCATGGGGGCATCTCTGTCCCAAGTTGGAGGGGACTCGGTGGCAGTGAGCCTGCGTGTGACTTTCTCAGCCTGTGGAGCCCAGCCTGGGTGGCACAGTGGGTTATGTGCTGGGCTGCGAACCACAGACAGGGGGTTCAAGACGACCAGGTGCTTGCACCAAGGGTGCAGAAGGTGGCGGTCTGCACCGCCCCCCCCCAGCAGCTGTTCTCTGGCTACAGGGTCAGCTCTGCCTGTGGTTCTAATCCCGCTTGGGAGCGGGCTTGCCGTTATGTGGACGAGACAGGAGTCACGTGGGGCGTGTCCGGTTGATCTCTGACAGAAGCACAAGGCGCGGAAGGAGCTCAAAGAGGCAAGGACCTTCCCTCAGAGCCAGAGAGGGAAAGCTTTCCCCTAGAGCCCTTGCCCTGAATTCCATCTCCCAGTCTCCCAAACTGGGAGAAAATAAAATTTCTGTCTGTGAAAGTCACCCTCTCTTGGAGTCTGTCTCTGGCACCCAGGGCCCCCCAGAACCCCCTTTCCCCGCCTTCCCCTGTGTTTACCAGGGGGCCCCTCTGTGCCCAGTCCCACAACGCCTGGCCTCCTACCTCCTGCGGTCCCACCACACTGCGGCCAGGCCCAGCCCCTGCAGGGCAGCCATGATCACATTGACGTCATAGTTGCCGGTGCCCAGCAGGCTGCGGTGGGGGTTCAGCCGGGAGTCTGGTGCCAACCTGGTTGGGGGTGGGTGGGTAGGGCAGCGGTCAGAGCTGGAGTGGGTGGGCTTGCCCAGAAACAGCTCACCCTCCCTGCAAAGCAGGGGCGCCACCCCAAACCTCTGACTGTTTCCTCTTTTCAGTTCCCACCACCCGCCAGCCCTGCCTGTCCCTCTTGCTGGGTGGCTTTCTGGGCCATGTCCCCAAAGCTCAGGCCCCATCTGCACCTCAGGAGGCCTGGTGGCGGAGTGGGTTATGAGTTGGGGGTGTGGGTGTCAGGGGAGGCTGCTAACCACAGAGTCAGCAGTTCGACACCACCAGCTGCTCCTCAGAGGATGAGGCTTTCTGCTCTGGCCTGTGCGGTCCCCGCCGTGAGTGGGAGTCCCCATTGAAGGCAGCAAGTCTGGTATGGTTTGAAAGCCTTGGAGCTGAGGAAGCCCGTGAGGGGCTCACCTCTGTCCACGGGGTCAGAATGGACTAGATGGGCCCTCTGTTTGGTTTGTGGGTTGTTTTTTGTATTTAAATTGGAACGCTGCCCCCAGCCTCCTCCCTCCCGTACATTTCTGCATGACTGGCCCCCCC